AACGACGACCGGGCGTCGCGTACGTTGTACTCGTACTGTACAGTAAGTTGTTATGTGCAATTAGTTCGAAAGGTTTTCGTGAACGGAGCCCCACCGACTAACCGAAAGGACACCGACACGCGACTGCGAAACCTCTCATCAAGACACGCGGCGGTCCATCCGACATTCCGTCCGCGCGCCGCGCGCCGCTCGCGTCGCGCCACCTCGCTCGCGGAGACACACCGCGGGCGAAGCGAACCCGCGGAGCGTCGCGCATGACGCGCGCGCGCGCGTGAGAGCACAGGCGGAAACCGCGCGACCGCGCGTGACGTGCTACGGTACCATGCGCGCGGACGCCCCTTCGGGGGTGGGGACGGGGTCGGGGACGGGGACGGGGATGGGGACGGGGATGTCCCCGGCGCCGGCGCCGGCGCCGTTCGCCGCGTCCGCGCCCTCGCCCTCGCCGACGCCGAGGACCGGCGGTGCGCTCTCGAGCGTCGCCGCGACCGCGACGCCGTTCGTCCCGGCGTCGTCCGCCGCGCCGTTCGCGCCGTCGTCGTCGTCGTCGTCGTCGTCGTCGTCGTCGTCGTCGTCGCGATCCCGGGGACCGGGGACCGGGGACCGGGGACCGGGGATCCCGGGGGCCGCCGTCGATCCGTCGCCCGCGGCGTCCGCCAACGCGACGACGCAGCGCGAACGCGAACGCGCGCCGCCGCTGCGCACCCCCTCCGGCGGCGGCCTCCCGCGCGCGGGCGCGACCGGCGTCAGCGCCACCTACGCGGAGGCGAAGCACGCGCAGCTCACGCGGAAAGACCTCCCGACCGCGCTCACCCTCATGGTGGCTGAGGCGCGTTCTATCTCACACTGGTTCCCATACGACCGCGTTCGCGTGGTGAACGCCGATCCTTAAGGACTTTTCCCGGCGTCCCTGTCCGCGCACCCCTTGCGTTCAATCCCCGACCTCGACGCCTTTCAACTCCGCTTCTGACGCCTTTCAACTCCACCCCGACGTTCGCTCGTATGGAACGACCCTGAGATCGAGAGACGCGGCGAGTGCGCGCAGTCCGCGCTGAAAGACCTCGTGTGCATCTTGAAACAGATGGGGCGGCACGACGACGCGGTGCGCGCGATCGAGCGCTATCGCGGCGCGTGGCCGATGGACGAGCGGTTGCAGGAGAGCCTGGATAACATGCTGCTCGACCTGTACAAGCACTCGCGGGATTTAGGCGCGTTCTCATCCATCACACTGGTCCCCGTACGACCGCGTTGGCGTGGTGAACGCCGTTCCTTGAGGACTTTATTTCCCGGCGCATCTCTCCGCCCAGGGTCCCTTGCGTTCAATCCCGACGCACACACCTCGACGCCTTTCAACTCCGCTTCTGACGCCTTTCAACTCCACCCCGACGTTCGTCGCTTTGAACGATGGAACGACCCTCAGACGGACAGATCGAAGTCACCGGAAATCTCATCGCGTACTCGCTGAAAGCGCTGAGCGAAGGTCGGACCGGGTGGATGATTCGAACCGCGGGCTGTAAAAACACCGTGAGCGTGCACCGGCGTCTGAGCACGCTATTTCGATTGCGAGGCCAAGCGCAGATGCAGCGCGGGCGGTGGGAAGAGGAGCGTTCTATCTTACACTGGTTCCCATACGATCGCGTCGGCGTGGTGAACGCCGTTTCTTAAGGACTTTTCCCGTCGTCTCTCTCCGCCCAGGGTCCCTCGCTTTCAATCCCCGTCCTCGACGCCTTTCAACTCCGCTTCTGACGCCTTTCAACTCCACCCACAGGCGGAGGAGACTTTATCTCGCGCGTCGGAACACGAGCGACTGCACGCGAAAGAGGACGACCTGAGCGTGAACATCGACCGCGCCGCGTGCGTGATCGCGACCGGGCGGCTGCTTGAGGCGAGGGATTTGCTCGTGAGGACCGCTGCGGCGGCGGCGGCGGCGGGGAACGTTCCAGGCAACGCGGCGGCGGGCGGCGGGGGCGAAGTTCCCGGGAGCGGCGGCGCGCCGTTCCGCGGCGGCGTCGGCGGAAGCAGCGTCGGGACGACGCGACGGGTCGCCCTCGCGCTGCGCGCGCTCGGAGATCTCCTCGAGAGGTTCACGACGGAGGTGAAGGACGCCGCGGAGGCGCTGCAGGTCAGTCTGCCGCAGCCGGGGGGCGGGGGGGCGACCGTCGGCGAAGCCGCGGCGGCGGCGGCGGCGGCGGCGGCGGCGGATGAAAAAGAAAAGGACGACGTCGTGGTGAGACTGCTTCCCATACGACTGCGTTCGCGTGGTGAACGCCATTCCTTGAGGACTTTCCCCGTCGTCACTCTTCACCCGCGCTTCCCTTTCAACGTACGTTTGACCGGTGAGACGTTC